AGACAGAGAGAGGCAGAGAGACAGAAAGCGAGAGATCCCCCCCCCAGGGGGAATGGCCATGCCCCAATCCCTTCTCCTCCATTCTCCTCTCGGGATCTTTAAGCCACCTAGTCCAGAACTCGAACCGCGGTCGACTATGTGGGAGTCCAGCGACATAGCCATTACACTAACTGCTGGTCTCAATAGATAACATTTTTAACTGACATATAATTGTATTTTTTATCAGGCACAGGGTGATTGTTTAGTACATGAATACAATGTGCAATGATCAAATCAGAGTAATTAGCATATCCATCATCTCAAAAATTCATCATTGTGTTGGGAACATTCAAATTTTCTTCTAGTTATTCTGAAATTCACAATGAATTACTGTTAACTAAAGCTACTTTATCCCTTATAGTGCTGTAGAACATTAACATTTATTCCTCTTCTTTAGTTGTAATTTTGTATCCATTAACCAACATCCCCCATCCGCCCTATTCCCTCGTTTTACCAGTCTCTAGTAATTATTAATGCTTTATACCAGTGTAACTTGATGTAGTCTTTTTTGGAGGCCTATTTTGGCATTGCCTACTGAAATTTTAAATGCCATTGACACCAAAGATCATTCTCTGTGGAATATTAGATTGAACCACATTACTGCCGCTTTTTTAGGTCAAAACTGGCCTAATTTTTACAATTGCATGACTCAACCCAGTTTTAGAGCGGGTGGGGGTGTGTGGGAAAGACTGGAGTCTGAGCTGGGAAGAAGCTAGACAGACATTGGATTCAGGAAATGTCAATCAATTATGCTCAATAAATGGAGACTCAGGTGGTGGGCGGGGCCTTCCAAAACTTAAGACCCTTGGACCAAGGAGGAACCGCGTGCAGGAGGCCCAGACCTTCTCTCCTGCACCTGCTGGCTGGTCTAGCTTGCTTGTTACCAGGACGGGCATTAAATAAAATTTTAAAAAAAGAGAAAGAGAGAGAGAGAGGCCTCTGAGAGAGGAGCTGATTCTACTTAAGGCAGGCAGGCAGTGTGCACTGGTCTGTCTGGTTTACAGTCAAGCTACGGCATGGCAATTTCTTTGTCCTCGCCGAAGAGCAAACACATTTATTCACCCAGTCGTCAACATTACCCAGGAGTTACTTTAAAAACTGGTATAACTGCAACTGTCAGTATCTGCGAAATATTGTACCTATGCAGGAAAACCAGCTCTTTCCCATCGCCCTGGCACATCACTGGCTCAGACAATGTGCTCATTCCAGACCATCCTCTCCCGCTGATCAAAGAGGCCCAGGCCCACCTCCCTTTCCTCTTGCCCATCACCTACCAGCCCGGTTCCAGTGAGAACCAGACCCGTTCCAGTACCAGGCGTGTAAAGACAGGAAACTGGCCTCCATGCCACGCAGGGCTTCACATTCACTTCCTGTCCACCTTTACACAGCCCGGGAGGGAGATGCTGCCTTCTCCTGCACAGGGTGGCTTCCCACCAGGCCTAGCCCCTGCACTTTGGGCAATGGTTGCATGTTGGGTGAGGATTCTGAGTCGCCTCTTCTCCTCTTCATGCCTGTGGCCCACTGCAAGATGCCCTCTGTGCTGTCTGAGCTAGGCCCTTGTCCTGGGCCTGGGGTGGGGGCGGGGCTCCAGGCATCCCTTGCGTGTCTCCTCCAGTCTTCATCGGCTGCTTGCTGCTGTCTGCACCGGTGTTTGGCTACCTGGGCGACCGACACAGCCGCAAGGCCACACTGGGCTTCGGGATCCTGCTCTGGTCAGGGGCTGGCCTCTCCAGCTCTTTCATCTCTCCCCGGGTAGGTGTCTACACCCCTGTCCAGGCCCCGGGGACCTAACCATGCATGCCTCCTCTTTGAGCCAGCCCCAGCAGAGCCAGGTGGAGGAGATTCTGTTCCATTCCTGGCTCCTGGCTGGCCGTGATCGCTCTCTAGAGCTGGGTGAGGAGGTGAGAGCACAGCCTCCGGGGGCCTGAGCCTGAGCAGGGCAGCGCCCGTTAGACTTTCTTAACTGGACGCTTCCTCTCTTGCAACTCCTGCTGCTTCATTTCCTCCTGGCTCTGCTGGGGGTGGGGACCATCTTGGGAAACTGGCCCGAATACCAAAGGAGACTCAGGAAAAAGACCCCCCTGGGTGTTGGGGCAGGCTGAGCAGCAGGCACCAGTAGGGGGCACCCTGTGATTTAGGGAAGCTGGGATGGGGAGGGTAGTGAGTTGTCTGAAGCCCTGACCTACTACTCTCCCTCCCGTGGGGGCTGGTGTCACAAGGACCCCCTCGGCCCCTTTGACAGATCCTCGGGTCCTTTGCCCCATGGGTTATTTCTGAACTCACCGTGGTCTCATGCCTGGCTTGCCCAGTATTCCTGGCTCTTTTTCTTGTCCCGGGGAGTGGTGGGCACGGGCACAGCCAGCTACTCCACCATCGCACCCACTGTCCTGGGCGATCTCTTCACGGAAGACCAGAGGACCCGAGTGCTGGCCATCTTCTACCTCTTCATCCCTGTCGGAAGGTTGGTGTCCCCCCTGGATCTGCTTCCCCAGGTGGTAAACTGAGGTCCAAAGAAGTCACACAACTGGGCGAGGGGTAGGAGAGCTCCAACCTGGAGGTCTGGCATCTGAATCCCAGTGCTACCCCTTCCTCACCATGTCAGTTTACCTCTGAGCCTCCCTTTTCTCACCTGTAAACGGGGTCCAGAATGCCAGCTGACAGGTCGTGGTGACGATTAGACATGACAAGGATGCTCCCTGGAGGTTAGCATACTCTGTGGGAGGGTGGCCTGCTCAAGAACGAGGTGGGGCTGGCCTTGGGAGGTGAAGTGAGGAGGTGTGTTAGGGCCAGGCCTTGCATCCCGCTGCAGGGTCGGTCAGAGCGGGATTTGCAGCCAGGCCCCTGGGCTCCGACCCAGGTTTCCTGAACTAGCTCGACTCCAGCAGGGCTGAGCCTTGGGCATGAGGACTGGGTGGTGGTGGGGGTGGTGTGTGTCCTGATGTGGGAGAGAGTGCAATCAGGGGGCGGGCGAGGAGCCCGTGGTCACTGGGGACTTGACCCAGGGCAGTGGACCCCTGGTCCTCATGTGGCTGGCTGTGAACCTGTGGGAGCCTGGGCAGGGCCCCCTCACTGCACCTCCCTGCCCTCTGTCGTAGTGGTCTGGGCTACGTGCTGGGATCGGCCGTGACAGAGCTGACCGGGAACTGGCGTTGGGCCCTTCGAGTGAGTCCGGCTTCCTTTTTCTTCCCTCTGCTTTCCCCCTGGGCCGGCAGGGACTTTCCACTCGGGTGGCCTCTGCCCCTTGGCACGGTACTTGGCGCCATGGGGGGGTGGTCCGATGCTGGCGGCTCTGGACATTGGAGCCTTATAGGGAACATGAGGTATGGAAGTTGTGCCCCTGAGCTCAAATTCTGGCTGCTCAGTGTACTCGCTGAATGTTCTCAAGCAAGTTGCTGGTCTTCAGAGCCCCAGTCTGCCTATCTGTAAAGTGGGGACAGCAAATGCTACCTCTGGAATCTTGAGGATTGATGAGACAAGGGATGGAAAAATCCTGGGTCAGGGCACACGTGACAGGCCCTTACGGACTGGCAGCTGGGGTTGCTCAGGTGGAGCCAGGACTCCTGGGGGAATACTGCGGAGGCCATGCTGGGGCTGTGGCCACTAGTGGCTCAGAGTCAGGCCCATCAGAAGGGGATGGCACTCAGTGGCAGAGAGGACTGGGGGGCCTGGTCCGGTGAGAGTGTGGGCCTCTGCCGAACCATCCTGGTGCAGAGGGAGCGCTCGTGTGATGTCAGGAAGGCAGGAGTAGGACCGTGTGGATTGGGCAGCCTTGGGGGAGGTAAGTCTGACTGCGACTGAGCTGTTTGAAGGCTGCTCCAAGGCAGGTAATGCGATCCCTGCCCTGGGGTATGGGCAGAGAGCCAAGCCAGGAGAGGATTCCAGGGGAGGACTAGCATGACAGATAGTGGCCTGGGTCAGGAACAGGGCCAACTGCTGGGGCAGCAAGAACTCAGTACTCAGGGCTCCTGTTCTCAGCCATCTCGGCCCACTGATCCCGCAGAGTAGTGTCCGTACTGGACAGAGAGGTTCTAAGTCCGGTCCTGAGGGAACCCCACTTCCCAGAGGCTGTCCTCACAGGGGAAAGAGGGTGAGAAACAGGGGGATGTCCAATTCTGGGTTTAGCCAGCACCCTGGGAATGGCTCCCCCCACCCCAGGGCCTGGACACTGTGGCTGGCCCTGCAGCCAGTCACCCTCATGGTCTTCTGGGCCTCAGGAGGGTGCAGCCCTGAGCTTCCTGGGCCCTCCTGTCCCCCCCAGATTATGCCCTGCCTGGAGGCCGTGGCCTTGATCCTGCTTATCCTGCTGGTTCCAGACCCACCCCGAGGAGCTGCTGAGAAGCAGGGCTTGGTGGTGCCTGGGGGCCCACGGAGCAGCTGGTGTAATGACGTCAGATACCTGGGGAGGAAGTGAGTAACCCTGCTCCCCTCTGCAAGCTGTAGAAACCCCTCTGTCTGCGTCCACATTACTGACTTCCCTCTTTCTGCCTCCAGGAAGCCCTCCCTGGTTGTCCCAACATTCATAGCCCTCTTCTGAGCTCCCAAATGAGATGCCCCTCCCTCACGTGGGGCTCAGACTTTAACACTTTGCCATGTGTCAGAGATGTGGGCTGGGAGGGAGGCAGGCAGTGTGAGCTCCAGACTTGTCTCTGCACCTTCCATTCCCTTCAGGGACCCCAAGATTCAGAGCCCCATCTCCTCGTTTATCTGATGGACATAGTTCTCCAGCCTTGCCTACTTCTTGGGGCTGCTGGGAGGGTGCTGGGAGTTGATCACCCACCTCCAAGCCTCTTGGGCGTGCACCATTCTCTGTCCTAGGGACGTGGGGGGAGGCAGGGAGGAGTCAACTCAGTCCAAGCCTTGTGATTCATGGCGATATGGGGCACAGAGAGGACCCAGCTCTCTGCCACGGAGCCAAGAGACTGCATCAGGGGACTTGGAAGCAGATGTGGGCAGGCAGGGACAGCTTCCTGGAGAGCGTGAGGTTGGACTGAGGCCTCTGGCAATAGGGAGATTTGGTCCTGCAGAGGAGGGAGGAGGGCACAGCCTGAGCATGGTGTGGGGGTAGCTGTTTGGGGGGCGGGGGATGTCTCAGGACTGTAGGAGACCGGAGCTCAGGAAAGGCTGGGAATGATCCAGACCCTGGATCCTGGGGTTACCTGAGTGCCAGGATGGAGTAGGGGCAGGCAGACCCCTTCAGCCCCAGCCTTTCCCGATCTCAGCTCGGGCACCTTCTCTTGCAGCTGGAGTTTTGTGTGGTCGACCCTCGGAGTGACAGCCATGGCCTTTGTAACTGGAGCTCTGGGCTTCTGGGCCCCCAAGTTTCTGTTCGAAGCTCGAGTGGTCCATGGGCTGCAGCTTCCTTGCTTCCGGGAGCCGTGCAACAGCCGAGACAGGTGAGGGGCCTTGGGACCGGGGTCCCTGGCCAGCTTGAGGGGTCTCGCTGGGGCAGTTCTCAGGAGGTTGTGAACCCCAAAACTCGGTCTTCCTGGGCACACAGTGCTCTGTGAGAGCAGCAGGACTGGGCCCTGGGGGACTGGCAGGAGGCCTGGGACCTAGCCCCAGCTGAGCTCCTACGGGCCACGAGCAGCTCCCTTATCCTCTCTGGGTCGAAATCCCTGTCTTTTCACCGTTGGGGCTACTGTGAGGGTCCAGAAGGCACCACTGGGGAGGGTGTGGAGACTTCTGCGGGATGATGGGAGTCTTAGGCAGCCTTCCTTTGAAAGGGCCCAGTGTCTTCTGTGAGGTCATTCCATTTTACAGATTGCAGAGGAGGCCCCCGGGGCCTCCTCTCGTGTCTGGGTTGAAGCTTCCACACACCACTCGTTTGTTCTTTGCCTGAGAGTCCTGGGTTGCTGCTGGGGGGAGAGGCTGGCACTCTGCCCTCGGGGGATGCCCTCTCCATGTCCTATTATCTGGCTGTCCCTTCTGCCCTGCTATGCTCCACTTCTGTCCTCAAACCTTCGACCTCATTCTCCAAGGATCCCCAGGACCTCCTGATGCTGAGTCAAGACCATCTTTCAATCTCCCCTTACTTGTCTCCTGTTCCCTGAAACCCTCACTCCTAGTGTCCTCCTCTCCGGCAGGTGCTTTTCTGCCCCCTTTTGGTCCCCTGGTCCTCTCTGAGCCTGCCCTCATGGGATCCTTGGCCTTCCTCAGGGCTCTGGGCTTTTCCTTCGAGCCTCAGCCTCCCCCTGCAAGCTTCAGCCGGCACTTTCTTAGCTGGCCACGCCTACATCCAGCCCCTCCTCCCTTGCCTCCTCCCCCACTTCATCATTCCCTGATGCCCAGAGAGAGGTCTATGTAATTTCCAGGTGTCCATGATTCTGTGCTTGTCTGTGTCCCCCGCCCACAACTCACTTCCCTTTTCTCATCATTACTTATTAAGAATTTACTTTGTGGGGCTGGCAGATGGTGTAGCGGTTAAAGCACTGGACTCCCAACATGGCTGACAGCAGTTCGAGTCCTGGACCCAGTGGCTTCAAAATCTCACCGGCGCATGTGCGTGTGTGTCCAAGGTCCTGGGAGAATGGAGGAGAAGGGATTGCGGTGTGGCCATCCCCTCCAGAGGGTGATTTCTCTCTCCAGCGAACATGTGTGCTCTAAGGCAAAAATCTCTAAAAAATAAAGTTTATTTTGGTTCAGGCCTTATAGTAAAACTAAAAATCAAAAGCAAAAACAACCCCCAAATTAATTTTCTCCCAATTTTAGAGGCCAGAAATCCAAGGTGGTTTTGCTGGGCCCAGCTCAAGATGGCGGCAGGCCAACATTCTCTCTGGGGGCTGGCTCCAGGAAGAGTCCTTCCCTGCCATTCTAGGGTCAGGTGGCTGCTGGCATTCCCTGGCTTCTGGCTGCCACATTCCTCTAGTCTCTGCCTTTGGGGTCCTCATGGCCTTCTTCCTCTTAAATTAATTCGTTTACATTTGTTATAGGGTGCGTGCACTTGCTGGAGAGAGACAGAGTGAGAAAGTGAGAAATCGCCTCCTAGGGGGGTGGCCACACTGCACCAGCCTCTCTCCTCCATTCTCCTCTCAGGATTTTGGACATGTACACACATAGGCCTGGCATGTTTTTCAAGTTTCCGGGTCTAGGACTTGAACCGTGCAGTCAGCCATGTGGGATCAAGGTGCTTTAACCATGATGCCACCAGCTGGCCTGGCCTTCTCTTCTGTTTCAAGTCTCTGTTCTCTCCAAAGAGAACAGGTGAGACTGCATTTAGGAGTCACCTGAATAATGGAGGACAATCTCTCCATGGCAAGAGCCTTAGTTTAATCACATTTGCAGAATTTGTGTTTCTCTATGCGGGAACATTTGCAGGTTCTAGAGATGAGCTGTACTTATCCTGGGTAGAGGGATCTCTCAGCCTACTACAGAGTGGGTGCAAGGTCCTGGTGCTGGGCCTCTGCACAGACCTCCCCTCTCGATACACCTCCTTGGATACAATAAGCCCCAAGGTGAGGGTGGGCAGGGGCAGGAAGTTGCAGCATGCAGGATTCTAGCTCAGCCAGAGGGAGAACTTCCAACACAGCAGAGCCGAAGTGGCCCAGAGGGAAGGAGCTGCATGGGGGTGGCAGTGAGCTTTCCACCTCTTGGCACATGTAAGTGGAGGTTGGACAGTCTCTTTCTGGGGCCGTTGTGCAGGGATCATTGTAGAACTTATGGGCCTTTAAGGGGCCTCCTGGCTTGGAGATCCTGTGATACTGGGAAGGCCCGTGTGGAAAGAACTCAAAGAGCTTGGTGGCTGGGGCATGCCTGCTGGGTGCACCTCTTGCTCAGAGCCAATGGGGGTGCCGTCCAGGCTGCCTGTCTGGATAATCAATCCTAGTCTCACAAAGGTCTCAAGAACCTGCCAGGGCCGGCTCAGACCAGAACTCAGAGACGGATAACATCCAGATCTGGGGTCACTTGACTAGGCTGAGCCGGAGCCTTGCACAGCTTGCAGGGCTGGGAAGGTTCCGGGAACACATTTAAGCTGCCTAAAGACACACATGCTTCTGTCTGCTAGGCAGAGGGCCAGGAGGCCCTGGCTGTGTCCCTCAGAGGCTGTGTGAGCTCGCCAAATTCCTTCCCTCTCTGGGCACCGCACTGTCCTATACACCGAGGAGATGGGGTGTGGGGGGGACGTTTTGCAAGAGTTGTTTAGGGAAAGGTGCTTTGTGTGCGTGTGAGAAGTCTTAGTCTATACCACCCTGGCTTTTATCTCAGTGGGAGCTCTGCCAGGAATCGCAGGGGACTGGAACTCATGGCCAGGAGTGTTTGGGTCTGGGAGGGGACCCTGGCCACTGGAGAAGAGTGGGGACCACATCAGGAAACTGGAAAGCCAAGGGCAAGTTTCAAGGATTCCTAGTTGTTGTGCAAAGTGAGGAAGGCAGGAGAAAAGGTGGTTAAACAGATCAGCAGGGACCAGTCCCACAGGGCCAGAGGGCAACGGGGTCACTGAGGGGCTGCAAGGTCCTGGCTGAATTTGTATTTTCAAGAGTTCATGGGGACCAGCGGTTAGCGTAATGGCTATGTTGCTGGATTCCCATCTAGTTGACCATGGTTCAAGTCCTGGAACCGGTGGCTTAAACTCACGCCGGGCGCGTGTGCATGCCTGCCCAAGATCCCAAGAGGAGAATGGAGAAGGGATTGCGGTGTGGCCATCCTCCCTGGGGGGTGATTTCTCGCTTTCTATCTCTCTGTCTCTCTCTGTCTGTCTGGCAAGTGCACGCGCCCTATGGCAAAAACCTCCCCAAAAAAAAAAAAAAAAGAGTTAATACTGGTCACACTTTCTCTTTTTTTTTCTTCTTTTTATTAATTTATTTAAATTTATTATCATTGTTATTGTACTTTTCAGTTTGATCAGAGAGACACAGACAGAGGGAGAGAGAGGGAAAGTGATAAAGCAAGCCACCCGGTCCAAGATTTGAACTGTGGTCGGTCATGTGGGAGTCCAGCACCTTTAACCACCACGTCACTTGCCGGCCCCTATTGGTCACACTTTCAACTATCCCTTTGAGTGCCTTTGAAAGGAGGGTTGGGACAAGCAGATGGCATAATGGTTATGTTGCTGGACTCCCACTTGGTCGACCATGGTTCAAGTCTTGGATCTGGCAGCTTAAAACTCATGCCAGGTGCATGTGCGTGCGTGCCCAAAATCCCAAGAGGAAACTGGAGGAGAAGGAATTGTGGCGTGGCCATCCACCCTGGGGGGTGATTTTCCTCTATGTCTTTGGGGAGTGCATGTGCCCTATAGCAAAAATCGCTCTCAAAAAAAAAAAAAAAAAAAAGGAGGGCTGCAGGCCAACAGATGGCATGGTGATTAAGACACTGGATCCCATATGGTCATTTCTGTGGTTCAATTCCCAGACCCGGCAGACTGCAAAAATCACACCAGGCATATCTATATACATGCCCAAAATCCCAAGAAGAGAATGGAGGAAAAAGGATTGCCATGGGGGATCCTGCCTGGGGGATGATTTCTCATTTTATTTTCCTCTGTCTCTGGCGAACACACCTGCCCAATGGCAAAACATCTAAAAAAGAAAGAAAGGGGCTCTGGACAGCCCAGTCCTGTGGCACATGCTGATACTGCTCAGCAAGCTGGGACCAGGTAGGAAGCCCTGGCTCAATTCCTGGCCCACACTAGAAGTCAGGTGCTATAGTCCCAGTTACGCAGGAGGCTGAAGCAGGAGGGCCATGCTATAGTGAGGCCCTGTCGATAAATAAAAAAAATAAAATAAAACAAAATAAGGAGGCTTCGGATCGCAGAGTGGACCAGGAGGCTGATTTCTATGGAGATGCGGCCCTCTCGTTTACTGCCTGGGTAATCTCGACCTTAACCTTTCCCCTTGCCATCCTCCCGTCCACCTGGGAATTCTGGGAGGGCTCAGAGAGTTCCCCTGCTCAGTGTTTATCTCTCGTGTTCTAGGCGTCATGGTCCCAAGCACAGAGTCCGGAACGTAAACCAAACCTGGTTGCCAATGTCCAGGAACTCACAGGCTAGGGAATGACCCTCGTGTAAGACACAGAGGGTGCCGTGGGGGCTGGTGGGAATGACAAGCATCCAGGGCACAGGGAAGGCATACCCCAGGGGACGTTCCTGATGGGTCTTCACGAGTAGGCTCTCGGGAGGTAGGGCAGTTAGGAAAGGGTGGAGGATGACAGTGCGAGGTGGGGAGGGGGGTGGGGAATGGAGCGGGGACAGCACCTAGTCAGTGGACGGAGGAGGACCGAGCTGGGCCTGGGGTTGGGATGAGCTGGTCGTGAAGTCCCCATGTACACCAGCTTGAGTGCGGATCTGCAGTCACCCGTTACTGTGTTGCTGACAGAAATACTTGAGACCGGGTGACTGCCAAGAATAGAGGTTTGTTTAGCTCAGTAACCAACTTCTGGTGGGGTTACGACAGGGCAGGGA